TATATACATATATATATGTGTGTGTGTGTGTGTGAGTGTGTATATATGTATATACTGTACATTTACATTTAGACATTTAGCATACGCTTTAATCCAAAGCGATTTACAAATGAGGTCAATGGAAGCAATCAAAATCAACTAAAGGGCAATGATATGCAAGTGCTATAACAAGTCTCAGTTAGCTTAATGCCGTACACATTTTCAAAGACTTCCTAGGTCGCTGGTTTGATCTACACCAAAATAGGCACAGCAACTAGGGACAGTGTTGGCAAAAAGGGATCAAAAGTATTTTGATTTGTCGAAGCACTGCGAAGATACAAGTTAATTAATTGGTCAGGCAATGCCCATTTTTACAAGCTGATCTGCCAAATGCAATGTTAAAGCTTAACAAACCTTGACACAACAGGACATTCTGAGACACACAAAGTTTAGTAAGTTAAACCCAGAGTTTATTTTTGTCTCCTCCCCCTTTTTAAAGCGTAAGCGACTAAATGCCTCATTAATTCATTCGCGCTGCAAAAATGCTTTTCTTAGTGAATCAGGGACGCGGGAAGTAGGGGTGCTGAGGGGGCTGCAGCACCCCCTGTTTTCACATGGTTGCAAATGCAACGCCAAGTTTGTTCATTTAAATTTATTCAGTTTTAGCATTTAATAATTTATTTGTAATGATCTCTGAAATGTAAATTGTAAGTGGGCTATAATAAACCCATGTTTATCTTTATAAACATGATTAATTTTACTTGTGATGCTTTCTATATGGGATGATTAGCCTAATCCTCATGAACATGTGACGCTGGCGCGTGGTATCAGACATGAACTATACAGAATGCGAACAAGATTAACTGTAATACAGGGAGATAATGGCGCAAAAGCGAATTACCCCACCTCCCACCCAACACGGACACACACAGCACCCCCAACCGAAAACATCTTCCCGCGCCCCTGGTCACATATGTACTTTTATGTTACATGTAAATAATATTAATAGCAATAACACTCAAAATTACTTTATTGTAATTATGCATACCTCCGCGTCAGCTTTGTGGTTTCATTGATGGTAGATTATTAATTTGTTTTGTAATGCTTTTATGTTCATAATCATACTATTAAAAGACGTCAGCTTTGTGGTTTCATCGATGGTATATTATTAATTTGTTTTGTAATGCTTTTATGTTCATAATCATACTATTAAAAGACTGTGAACAAAAATAAACACACATTAACACGTTCATAATCGTATGTATTCAGTATCTTGAAACTCTCCCGAGCAGCGTTTTGAGCTCAGATAAGATAATGGTCGTAGAGCGCCCTCAGGCGACCGTTAATTTTTCATCAGAACGAATACGCTCCCTACAGGTGATTAACGAACATTTTTAAAGGGGTCATATGATGCTATTTCAAGTTTTCCTTTCTC